ATATAGCATAGCGTCATAATTTGAAAAGACTATACTTCTTATTGAATCTTATTGAATGTCTTCATATGGTCATTAAAAATATGTTTTCAACTTACACCTAAGTTATTAATCTTCAGTTTGTTATGCTTTGTAAATGTGCAAAATGTTAATTAATAACAACCAATCTTCAGTGTTAAATTGATGAACGATTTACTTTCACTACACTAAAATATACTAGATCCTCTCCCGGAAGGTTGTTATTAACTTATGCACAAATTAAAATCTTCTGCTCTTTGTTCCTGGTATTTAATTAATCATCATATCATTAGAAAGTTGCGCGTAACGCAAAAACTTTCATAAGCTCGATTAAAATCGCTGGCAGGGTTACGTGCTTAGCGGCACGATAGGTCTTCTCTAGGAAAATTACGTCAGGAACGTTCGTAATGCACACAACGCCGCGTGGAAAACATAAAACATTTGCAGCTTAGAATAGCCACTAATGGGTGAATTGCTAAATCTGCACTTTCACTTCGCACGATCTATTATGCACATAAGTACGGCGAGGCTTTTTAGCTTAACTCTGCGTGAATACGGCTTAATTACTTGATATCGAGAATTCTTACGATTCGTTTCTCGTCAGTTTCTCGTCTATTTACATTATGTTTGACGAAACGGACATTTTTACGCTTAACGTGCGTCGTGACAAATGTCATTTTTAATCGCAGATAATAGGAAAAGATAGAAGGAGATAATAAACATGACATGGCATTACTTGACAGGATTGGATCTTAGGTAGCCTACAATTTTTTTATTTTTATTAATTAAATTTATATATAAATTCGGAATAATTGTTTTTACCGCGAACTATGTGTCGTTATTATTAATAAACTTTCAACGCAGGTCATATAACTATATAACTTTCAACGTAAGCTATATTCCTAAATAATCAAATCCGAAAAAAATTCATTACCCCTACTTCTCTATACGAAATTCTTATTGTAAACAATACCACATCTCAGTCAGGAATCGAACCCGGGAGAATCGTCCATTTTCCAGGCGTTTTATCCTTCGATAGCATATTTATCGGAATAATCGAATAAATATTGCGAAGAATGTATACTAGTAAACGATAATAATAAAAGATAGAGTTTTATGGAGTGGAGAAATTAAAAAATCTTGAAAAGAAACTATTTTGCGGTCACGGTTGTTTGTGGTTCCTTGGAAATTTCGGTCGACATATAACTATCCGTTATAAACATGCGTACAACGGAAGGTGGAAACGCGATTTCTGAAAAAGATTATACACACGGACGGAATACTAAGTATTTGTTCGTGTACAAGAGGCATACCAACAGCCAGGAGATCCGTAAGACAAACAAACGATGCGAGAACCACGGAAAAACGAAGGTTTATGAAGATGCGTACGCGTCACAGCCGGGGCCGTCGTAATAATTCACGATATCTTTCTCGTCACGGTCGCTTTGGTCACGGGTAATTAAAATCCCCATTACATGGCGATTACAGAAGTTTTGCGGGGGGAAAACATTTTATCGCGAATAACGAGGAAGAAGCCTCGTGGGTTTCACAAAAAAGAATTCCCCATTCTCATGTGTATTCATGACCGGAATCGCGGATAATGCCCGGAGTCCTCCCGTGCATCATACCTTACATATGTGGAATATTAATTCTCGTCATTCGTATGCGATGTACGCAATATCGCCGCGAACGCGCGTAGCTGCGGAATGTCGCAGGTGCAAGTCACTCAAGAAAGTGCATTATGGACTACGTATGACAGCGAGCATGAATAAATTATATCCCATGTCGCTCTCGGAGTTGCTAACAGACGCAAATCATCGTTCCTAATTATGTGAAAATCCTAGGAATACAAGATCGGAAAGTGAATCGGATTAGAGTCGAAAATCCCTGTAGTCCAGAGAAAGTATAATGACCGAGTATGAGAGTGTTAGCTTTTTGGCGACCAGAATTGATAAATGAAATTGACGAAAATGAAAGTAAAATTGGCATTTGTGTTTAACAACATACCAAAATATCAATTAAAAAGATCAACAAAATAATCTCAAGTTGCTTAGTTCCGACATATAACTATATATATATATATATATATATATATATATATATATAGTAATATTATATAAATATTATAATATATAGTTATAAATCAATCTTGCTGTCATGCATTTTTATTTTTTTTACCGAGATATCATATTTCTCTCATTACGACTTCAAAGACGGAAAGCGACATTTCGCAAGTAGCAGAGCGTGCCGCCTTGCAATTCCGCCCACGTTTCTCTGCGACATAGAGCCAGCCGCTCATCTGAAAGACAAACACCAGTGGCGACACACTGGTATGCCACGGAAGATAATCATCGTCATAAATTCATCATCATCACCATCATCGTCAAGGCGTCCGAAACGTAATCACTCATTAGTTTGCGCGATTTGCCGTTAGCGCATCACTGTCATGTCTCGCGAAATGACGAATTCCATTGGGGATGATTGAAATGACGGTGAAGGGATGAGAAAATGCATTTTATTCTGATGTTGCTAGTTGCATATCGTTACATACGACTAGGAAACGAGCTGGTCATTGCGAGAATCATCCCTTTGCTTGCATTGCATTAATTCCTTGAGGTTTCATCATCAAATTATAAATTGCTCTAAAGTAATTTACTTTTAAATACAGTTTTAGATATTTCATCAAATAATTAATAATTATATTTTATAAAATTTAATTTTTCATTAAATTATAAATTGAAATATTTATATATTGAATTATTTATAATAATAGTATAATCATAATTGCTGCCACTAATTTTATTATTATTATTCTAAATTACTAACATTATTTTAATAAATTAAATTTAGTCTCAACATAAATTTAATTATTAAATATTATTTAAATTTTTATATTAGTTTTAAATAAGTCATACACAGCTTTTTGAATGAAATTAAAATTTCTTTTTAAATGGTTATATAATATGTAGGTTATATAATGATTGGAAATAATGCAATTTTTTTAAAAATAGGATTATGCAATCACTCATTTTCGTGTTAAATATCGGTGTCTTATTCTCATCAAGCATGCGGACAGAAAGTAATTCATCTGATTTCTGACATTTGCAAAATACAAAAAATTTCGACAACGTGGAACACGCGTACATTTCGTCACGCAAATTGTGATAAAATGTAAAAGAAACAAAGAACAAAAAAAAAGACAAAGAAGCGAAGGTGTGTTTGGTGCGAAGTACTGTGAGAGATACTGTGTCGCGATGTCGTCGACTGGTGAATTTTCGACGTTGTCGAGCGGCGAGGCCACCGGAACTGGCGAGGACTCGTTGCCGAGCTCGAGAGAGGCGACCGCCGAGGCCGCGGGTTCCGGCGGTGGTTTCATGCCGCTGCGTGAGTTCCTGGACAGATTCTCACTGCCAAGGGTAGTCAGGGTCGAAGGTGCCGGTGGAAGGCCGATACTGCTGTACAAGCAACAACAAAAATCGCTTAGAGTCACGGCCACGCTACTGATGCATCGTTACCGCCATGACGTCAAAGTGGGACCGGAAATAGTCATCCCGGAAGGCTATCCCGGTGAGTACAATCTCATGTAATACGTGTGTATTTGCTTGCACCCTCGTGCTCCTCTACATAAATGAGTTTAGTAAAAGACGAGACTAAATTAAGAATAATTTCTTTCTTAAATAAAAGAAGAAAACATAATTTTGGAAAAAATTAAAATTCTCTTTTAGATTCAATTTTATTTAAAAAAAAAAAGATAATTATAATTTCTATTATGAAATTTTTTAAGAACACATACTTCAATTTTATTAAAAGTAAAAATAAACCTCTTAAAAATAAAATGTAAATATTTATATTAAAAACAATTTAAAGTTTAAAATATATGGAGAATGAAAAAATATGGTTAATAGATAATAAATCGCATACGAAGACGCTATACGGAATTAACTACCTGTCACATTCCGGCCTTTGACTTAACGTATCGATCATAATGATCGATTGTGCTCGCGGAATTGTATCGGAAATTTGATCTGGGATTAAAACGATTGCGGTACGTTGCATAAGAGCATATGTGCACGCAGTGTGTTACAACTAATCGATTGACTAGAAAGGGATTTCTTTGCAAACAGCTGCGAGCTTTTAAACATTCTTTTTTCCATTCTAAAAAAAAATATCATTTATGATGTTCGTTAAATGCATGCCAATTTATTTATGCTTATCTATCTAGCGATTGAAAGATAACGATAAATTAGAATCATAGGATTTTTTGTTAACTTAAACATTTGTATTCTCGAGATTTTCTTATGGATCGAGAGCTATACATGCCTATGCTTGTCCGATTATTTATTCACACATCCAACTGCGTATATGAATAACCAAGTTGTAGTAGACATAGTGACTTAACTTAAGCCCACAAAAAGAAAGTAACAAATGATTGTGGCGGTTTAACAATGAAACCAAGTTTATCTAGTGAAACAGAGAGTGACGTAAACTGCACACGAGTTTGATCAACAATATTAGCGAGAAAATATAGATATAAAATTCAGAAAAAAATAATAACTTCCCTTTCAAAAAAAGATTAGTCTATAAAAAAATTTAATTAATGTTTATGAATTAAATATTTTTTTCTCATTATAGATCTTTATGATGAAATAAATATAAAACTCTATAATATAATATGAGATATATACTTTAATTTTACATCCAATAATATATGTTTCTTTTTTTTATCGTAAAACATTAGATATCACATTGAATGCAAAAACGCGATGATGATGTGACATCATGATGTAGCAAGGACCGTTCGACAAATATTACTCAACGCGCGGGAATACGTAGACGCAGCCTCATGTAATCTGCATAGGAACGTTTCAATTTTCTCGGGTGCGGCGTCGTATCCACACACGCTGCATCTGCCACACCGACAACAACGATTTCTCACGGCCGTAATCGCGCTCGCGAGCGTGTTAGCGTGCTCTCTCTCGGCGCCGGTTCATAGCTCTCGCTGGCAAGAAGTAACGAACGAACGAGCGGAGCGAGCGTCGGCCTATAAATAGTGAAGGAAAGTATGAGGTAACGCGGCAGAGCGTGTCGCGAATTATAATTTAATATCATCCCGGCTTGTAATACCGTGAGTACGCTCGCGATAATGTCTATGCGCGGAAAACATACGCGAATGTACGAATCTCTCGATGACTCCCCGACGAGAGAATCGGCCGACGAACAAAATAGACAGCGAGAGAGAAAGAGAGAGAGAGAG